TCAACCAACATGTAAAAAGAAAAAAACAACAACCCATGCACATGATAATTTGGCATGAATTGGTCTTCTCAGTGGCAAATAATGTACTGGCTTAAGCAAATTGTTGTGTGTGGGGGGTTCATCATTTTGTTCAAACTGTTCAGGTCGTGGGGGAACCAGTAGTGTCATCTCTCTGTGCTCGTGTGTCAGCACATTCCGATGGTTCTTGGCACCTCATTGCAGCTTCCTGAAATGTTTAGAAATGCTTTCTGAAGCTCATCACTTCACTTCACTTTCTCAGGTTGTACGAATTACAAATCAAATAAGTTATAATAAATCACTCTTGTCCCTTCTATTTATGGTGCCTTTTCTTTCCCACCTTCCATCTATCCCTCTTTACCTACAATAGTGTGTTCCAAGGAATAGTTCAAGGGTAGGAAGGTCTCCTTGCTTCCTGATTCAGGTAGAACAGAACATTTGACTCATTTAAGCAGTTAGCCACTTCCTTTCCTTCTCTGAATGGACTCTACAGATTTCCTAAATGACCTCTTCCCCATAATACATTTTACAAATGTTTTTAAAAAGTCTTTTTTAAATCCTTCTGTCATACAGTTTATAGTTTGTCCTGTGCTACCTAGTTTGTGTGCATTCTTTTTTTTTAATGTGTATATATATATATATATATATATATATATATGAATATGTTTTTATTTATTTTAGAGAGAGGGGAAGGGAGAAGGAGAGAGAAAGAAACATTGATGTAAGAGAGAAACATCAACTGGCTGCCTCCTGTATGCATCCCAAGCAGGGATCAAATCTGCAACCTGGGTATGTGCTCTGCCCGGGAATCAAACCAGCAACCTTTTGGTCATGGGATAACACCCAACCAACTGAGCACTGGCCAGGGCATGTGTGCACTCTTAATTTGAGCAATCAGTCTGTTTCGGATGATGCCTTTTTGTCCTAAAATAATTATTTGGTTCTGTCAATTGACTACACAAAGATTTTTTTGAACAGTTGATATTTTTCTTTAGATTCTAAAAAATGTTACTTAATTTTTTGTTTTGTTTCCTATTTTATTCCTTTTTAATTAATTTATTTTAGTTACAGATGTTTCTCCTTTTCCCCCCACTGATTTACCCTCCCCCTCCCTCCTCTCTTTGTCCCCAGCTTTGATGTCCATGTCCATTGTTCATGCACACATGATATAAGTTCTGTGGTTTATCTCTCCCCCACCACCCCCTTTTCTGGGGATTGTCAGTCTGTACCCCACTTCCACATCTCTGGGACTACCCTGTTCCTCAGACTGTTATGTTCATTATATTCCACAAATAAGTGAGATCGTATGATACTTGTCTTTCTCTGTTTGACTTGTTTCGCTTAGGATAATACTTTCCAGGTCCTTCCATGTCGTATCAAAGGATAAGAGATCTTTCTTTCTTACAGCTGGGTAGTACTCCATTGTGTATATGTACCACTGCTTTTTTATCCATTCGTCTACTGATGGACACTTGGGCTGTTTCCAGATCTTAGCTATTGTAAATAGTGCTGCTATGAACATGGGGTACATATATTCTTTGTGATTGGTGTTTCAGGCTTCTTAGGGTATATTCCTAGAAGTGGGATCACTGGGTCAAATGGAAGTTCAATTTTTAAGTTTTTGAGGCAACACCATATTGTTTTTCATAGTGGCTGCACCAGTCTGCATTCCCACCAGCAATGTACTAGAGTCCCCTTTTCTCCACACCCTCGCAAATACTTGTTGTTTGATGATTTGTTGTGGCGGCCATTCTGACAGGTGTGAGGTGATACCTCATTGTTGTTTTAATTTGCATCTTTCTGATGATTAATGATGTTGAGCATTTCTTCATATGTTTCTTAGACATTTGTATGTCTTGTTTGGAGAGGTGTCTATTTAGTTCCTCTGCCCATTTTTTATTGGGCTTTTTGTCTTCCTTTTGTTGAGTTGTATGAGCACTCTATATATATTGGAAATTAACCCCTTATCTGATATATCATTGGCAATTATGCTCTTCCATACAGTGGGTAGCCTTTCCATTTTCATGATCATATCTTTTGCTGTGCAGAAGCTTTTGAATTTGATGTAGTTCCATGTGTTCATTTTCTCCTTTGTTTCTATTGCCTTAGGTGATGTGTCAGTGAAAATTCTGCTGCATATGATGTCTGAAATTTTGTTGCCTACAGTTTCTTCTAGGATTTTTATGGATTCATGAGTCATATTTAAGTCTTTTATCCATTTTGAGTTTATTCTTGTGTATGGTGTAAGTTGATGGTCTAGTTTCATTTTTTTGCATGTAACTGTCCAATTTTCCCAACACCATTTATTAAAGAGGCTGTCTGTACTCCACTGTGGTACGTGCCCTTAGCGGGAACCCAACCCGGGACTCTCCGATCTGCAGGCCGATGCTCCAACAGCTGAGCCAAACCAGCCAGGGCTTTGTTTTGTTTTTTAATAGTGTCAATGTATCTTGTGGGCCATTAACTCCTAAAGTTATACCTTGAAATGTTTCCAAATGTTTTGCATTTGATTTCCTTCTTTCATGTGTTCTTGATTTGTCTATTTCAGTGCGGCAGGAGCACAGTGATCAATGGGAAAAGTGGTGGAAGTTAGACTGAATAAGTCCAGGGCTGCCTTTACACTAATGCACTGAAAAATCACTAAGAGGGAACAACAGAATTCAATTTATATTTTGAAAGAACACTCTGCTGTGTATATCATGGGTTGGAGAGAAGCAGAGTACAAGTAAGGAGGCCGGTCAGGAGATAATGGTGGTCAGAACTAGGGTGTTAGAAGTGTAAATAAGAGAAATGGATGGAGTTAAGGCATCTTTTGGAGGCAAAATGAACAGGATTTGATGCTGCATTAGGTATGGAGGGTAAAGGAGAGACAGCAATGAAAGGTGGTGCCCCAGTTACTGACTTAACTAGATGAAGGGTGTTTCTGAGTCCTGAGATGGGGAGGGCTGGGGTGGAACAGGTAGAGTGGGGTTGGATCAAGAATTTTGGTTCAGATACTTTTTTGAGATGTTTGTGAAGTTCCTAAATGGCTACCAGGAGGCAGATGGATATAAATACCTGGAATTCAGAAGAACATCTGTTCTTCTCACTGAGTGCCCCTAAGGCTTTCCTTGTCTTTAGCAGTCCAAGAACAACACATCTGAACAGCTCTATCATGTTTCTAAATGATCATCAGCCTCCTTTCCCCCAAACAATCCAGAAATTTATTTTGAGAAAGCCAAAATAACTTCATGCGTTGAGTATAAATATAATTGTTTTGCCTTGGGGCAAATGCTCAGACCTGTACCCAGTACAATAAACCCAGTGACCCCACACTGGAGCTTGTCATCTATTTGTATTTTACTTAATTTCAAGGGCTTCCCACAAACCTTCTTAGCAAATGTTCTGTTTCCTGGTACCCTGGTTTCAGTGTTCCCTTGAGAAATTTAGATTGACATCTCTCCTCTTCTTATAGTGACCTCAGCCGCAGAGTCACACTAAGTCAGGCTTGACAGTTTTTCTCCCGAGTTATCTGGCATTAACTCCCTCTGAGGATTTATAGTCATGGCACAGTGTAAATCTAGAGCCAGCCTGTCACTGGGATCCCTTCTCTAATCTCACTAGATGAACTCCCGGGCCTGAAGGACTTCAGCACTCTCTCTCTCTTGCCCTAGTAGCAGAGCCAAAACCAATGGTTAGAAACCACAGGGAGAGAGATGTTGGCTCAGCTAAAGGAAAAAGTGCCTAATGCTTAGTGCTGTCTGAAAATGGAAACGCCTGCTGGGAAGGAGTGAGTTACCGTATCTGGTGGTGTAGAGGCACAGAGCAGGCAATCGTTCGGCGCGGATTCCGTGGCAGAGACTGAGGGGTCGGGGCACAGAAGTAACATCCACTGACTATTGAATCCCTGCTCATGCTACAGCTTAACACAGGTGTTTCATCCCATTTGATCCCCATAAGGACCCCCAAGGGAACTAGTTGTAACCCCACCAGGAGAAGTTACAGTCACAGTTTAACATCACACAACTAGAAAGTGTCAGAACCAGGATTTAAACTCAACTTCATATAAACCCAAAGTCCTTGTTTATTCTTTCCATATTTTTTTTTTTTAATCCTCACCCGAAGATATTTTTTCATATTTTGTTCAGATAGAGTGGGAAGGAGAGAGAGAGAGAAACATCGACATGAAAAGGACACATCGAGTGGCTGCCACCCATACAACCCAACCAGGGCCAGGGACAAACTGCAACCGAGGTACGTGCCCTCAGTGGGAACCGAACCCGGGTCTCTCTGGACCACAGGCCGACGCTCTAACCGCTGAACCAAACCGGCCAGGGCTATTCTTTCCATAATTATTGGAAGCTTGAGATGTTGAACTAAGAGATTTCTCAGGTCCCTTTCAGCACTGTGATTCTATCTGAGTCAAAATATAGATATAGGCATCATTGACCTATGTTTTCCTTAGTCAGCCTTCTGGCCTCAGTCACATTAAAATGATCATCTGTGACTCCAATAGTTTCTATGGTCTCCATCAAGAAAGGACCATTAAAAACTCAGCATTGTACTTTGTATCCCCTCTGAGCTTTCAGCAGAATTTAGTCTAAGGGCCTCAAAAAAAAAAAAAAAAAATATATATATATATATATATATTTAATAAATATATATATTTAAATAAGGTTGCTGACAAAGACTGAGTTTACAGTACAAATGTACAAAAGACAAAGCTTTTAGTATTTCTCAAAAATGTCATAATATATTGTCTTAACTTCTCTACTTGTTTTTTAGGTCTTAGATGATCTTGAAATATTTGACCCAAGGTCAATTTTTCTGGCCTAAGCTCTGAGTCAGATTTTTTTAAAAATACTAGAATTTTAAAATTAGATTAACTTTTAAAATTAATAATAGAATTGGAACTTTTAAAAATATTAGAGTCTGAAAATAAGTTTAATTTACTTATTTCAAGGTAAAATGGCTCTATGTGCGTGTTAAATGCTATTTTCTAGATTGAAGCTGAAATTGCCAAGGAAAGAGCCCAACATTTACTTGAATTTGAGGAGCAAGCTCTTCTCTTTAAGGAAGAAATTAAACTGGAACTTGATATTGAAAAGGAAAAACACCAAGAAATAATCCAAAAGTATAAGAAAGAACAAGAGGAGCTACAGATGAAGGTCTGTCACTATGGTTATCATTATCACTTAATGGGTTTAAAACTATAGATGTTGGTTATTTCCTCCTAAGAACACTACAGTGTTTGTAACTCCAGCAGTTTTCTGCATAGTCGCTGTGCCTTGGTTTTAGCCGCGTAGGTAGAATGGTTTGGATATTCTCCAGAATGCCTAACGGAGATAAATTATACAAGCATGCAATCCAGCTATGTATGGAATTTTTTAATAAAAATGAAGTTGTTTTTTAAAACAGCATAAATTATAAAACTAATAATTAGCATGGTGAGATATTCCAGCACATCAAATATCCAATATCAAAAGATAATGAAGTGTTTTACATAATTAAAAATTTTCCAACAACTAAAGCCTATCTTCTCTCATTTTCATTTTCAATATTTTCACTTCTAAATATTTTTGAATGAAGGGAAATACTTTAAAAATGTAACTACCTCCATAATTTCTGAAAGAATGGAATGTGTCCTGAATATAATTTAAGACTTGTTAAGGTTCCCGTTTTGGTAAAACCTGAGTGTAGTAATGTGCGTGTGTGTGCGTGTGTGTGTGTGTGTGTGTGTATTAACCAAGATGCAGAGGGAAAACCCATATTTTGAATAAAATCATTAACAGTCTGTGTAAGTTAAACATCACATGAGACTCACTGGCCTCTGCTTTGGTGTACAAGGAATATGTACAGCCTTCTCCGCAGGCAGGGCCAGCTACACGAGTGTATGACAAGTGCAGTATCACAGGGCTCCACACTCAGAAAGGCCTCCTGCTTTTGTTTAATGCTCGGCAGATGCTGTTTTGAAATTCTTTTTTTTTTCTTTCTTTTTTTTTATCCTCACCCGAGGACATTTTTCCATTTTTTTATTCAGATAGAGCGGGAAGGAGAGAGAGGAAGAGAGAGAAACATCGATGTGAAAGGGACACATCGAGTGGCTGCCACCCACACGACCCAACCAGGGCCGGGGACAAACTGCAGCCAAGGTACATGCCCTTAGCGGGAACCGAACCCGGGTCTCTCCAGAACGCAGGCGGACGCTCCAACCACTGAACCAAACCGGCCAGGGCTGTTTTGAAATTCTTAATAATTTTGTCTTTCAATTTGTGTTGTATAAGTGAAGTCCTATTAGGACAAAGAGGCACATAATGGGAACTTGGAAGCCCAGCTCAGCCTAGACGGTTCTCTCCTAGACAGGCCTCTTGCTTTCTAGCCCCTGCCCCTCACCCCGGCTCCCCTTGGCATGCCCTCCTGTCTTCCCCTCGCCTCAGGACTGCTGTCTTGGGGTCCCATCTGCAGGGGAATGTCAAAAGGCAGGCCCCAGTTTGCCAGGGGTTACAGTTTTTTAAGACAGGTCATAAGTCCAAATTTTTAAAGTAAACTCTTGAATTTTAAAATGTTGATTCCCTTTTAAAAAAATAAAAACATATTTGTGGCTCCTCTCCCAAGGATAACCTGCTCTATCTCAGTGTCAAGTCTCAGGATGATGGGAACGACCGTCCAGACCTAGCAGTGACCCTCTTCCTTCCTGGATTAATTGAAGATAATGGAATATTCATTTAATTCATAAAATTACTAAGTGTGGTGAATAGAGTTCTTGTAGCAGTTATTCTTAATGTAAATTTAACATTTGGAACAAATTTTAGATAATTAATTCTTAAGTAATAGTTCACAAAATTCTTGGAACTTTGGTCTCTGAATGTTTTCCAGATTCTCCATGGGTTGGTTTCTTGTTGTACTAATATTTATTACATGGCAATATCTGTAGCGTAAATAATAAGGATATGTTCCATCAGGATATGCTCTTCCTGCTTTGTTTTCTGTTCTTTGTTTTGTACTTTGCGGCCAGAGAAAACAAGCGGTCTCTTCTCTTTAAAGACTTTCGTGACTATAGGAAAAGCTTCCTCAAGTTATTCTCTCTTCTCTTTGTGTAGAGGCACCACCTTGAAAAGCAGTATATTTTAATGTATTCTGGGATCCTCTAAAACTACACTTTATAATATGGTGGCCACATGTGGCTACTTAAATTTTAATTAATTAAATTAAATTAAATTAAAAATTCAGTTCCTCAGTCACATGAGCCCCATTTCAAATGCTCATTAGGTGGTGCTGGCAAGAAAGAGCCTATTGTGCACATCTCTTCCCCGTTCAGCACCACGATGTCACCTTACTATTGGAACTGGTCGTGGTGAGGTAGTTATGCCGTGGAGATTAGATCAGATTTGGGTGGTTAAACATTTACCAGCACACCACTGTCAATAGCCGCATGTGGCCAGTGGCTACCATATTGGACATTACAGCATATTTCTGTTATCACAGAAAGTTCTCTTGGGCAATACTGCTCTAGAAGGAATAGTACCTGAGGAACCTCCACTCATTATATACACAAAAGAAAAAAATCTCAAAGGAAAACTTATTGGTATGGTATGAGTAAAATATAATTGCTGTGTTATATTGGTGCATCCCCTGCGTGCATTCTCAAGCATCAGGCATCTTTAATTCATGAAGTTACCATATAGTGAGTCGCTATTCTTGACAGCTTAATCCAGTTACAGAGTTTTATATATTCCCAAAGATGCCCAAGTGATAAATGCAATTCCATTTAAGGTGGTAAAAAATAAAAATTTAGTCTTAACTTTTAAAAAGAGGTCTACAGCCCTGGCCAGTTTGGCTCAGTGGTTGGAGTGTCAGCCAGTGGACCAAAGAGTCACAGGTTCAATTCTGGTCAAGGGCATGTATCTCTATTGGGGTTCAGTCCCTGGCCCTGGTCGGGGTCATGTGGGAGGCAGCCAGTCTATATCTCTCTCTCTCTCTCCCCCTCCCACTCTATCTGATGATAAATGGAAAAATATCCTTGGGTGAGGATTAAAAAAAAAAAAAAGATAAAAAGAGGTCTACATATGTCATAGGATTTGTTTTCATCTGATTAGCAGAGTACACTGATTATTTAGAATAAGCCTCTTAAAACCCTAAGAACTCTGTGGCTCCCTAGAGATATTGCCTAAAAACTAATATAAGATTTATCTTACAGATATCTGACTTAATCGCGGGTGCTACCAGAGATCTAAGGCTGGAAGTGGCCACTCTTGAAAAAAAACTCCATGAATCCCATGCCCAATATACCGAAGAATATGAGTCAAAGGAGAAGGAAATTGAAAACCTTAAAAATGTGGTTGCAGAATTTGAATCTCGCTTGAAGAAGGAAACTGACAATAGTGATTTTGTTTCAGAGGGCTTGAGGGAGGAAATGAAACAGAAGTCAGATGAACTGGAAGAAGTGTTGCTGTCCCAAGCACAACTGGTGCAGCAGCTGAAGCAGTCCCAGGAAGAGGTAGGACACATCCACGGCACCGCTGCAGTTAGGGGCAGAGCACAGGCTCCTTCAGCACACACACACACACAAACAGAAAAGGCAGTGTGGTGTCATGCAAAAGGTTCTGGAATATTAGTCAGGGACCTGGGATCACATCCTGGTTTTGTCCTTAACTAGACAGCCACTTAACCTTTCTGAACCTGGCTTCCTTTTCTGTAAAATGAGTATATTGAACTACATAATCTCAAAGGTTTTCTCAGCACCCGGTTCTACTGTGTTGCAAACGACCTTTTAAAACATCTGAGACTAGCAATCTTTATATGTCTTGCTTGTTTTGACATTAAGTCTTTGCCAGAAAACTTTTAGAGCACTTGCTGCTTAGTTCAAGTAATATTTGGGCACTATATCTTAAATGTAACTTCGCTTTAGGGGTTTATCTTTCTGTCAACCTAAATTTGTAAGGTAATTGACATGTGTTGTTCTTTCTTATGTATGCGCGATTATTTTAGCAATGCTTTTACTTAAACTGAAGTAGACATACTTTGATTAAATTTTTTTTTTTCTAACAAAGTCTTCTTTTTTTCTGAACTGCTAAGCAGTTTAGAAATGGTGGATGCTATAGACTGAATGTTTATGTCCCCTAAAAATTCATAGAACTGAATCCCCGACGTGATGATATTTAGAGGTGGCGGCTTTGGGAGGTATTAAGTCAGGAAGGTACAGCTCTCATGAACAAAATTAGTGCCCTGATGAAAGGGGAGCCCGGAGAGCCCCCTCATCCCTCTGCCATGTGAGGACACAGAGCCAGGACGTCTACCCACTAGGAAGGGGGCCCTGTGATTTGATTATGAACACTCCAGCCTCTAGAACTGTGAGAAGTAAATTCTGTTTGTTGTCTGAGCCACCCAAGTCTATGGTACTTGGTGATAGCAACCTGAACTAAGGCAGTAGAGCAATTAATCTGTTCTCTAATCATCAAAGTATGTCCCATTAGATTGGTCCCATTTATGACAGTATAGCAAATAAAAGCAAATGGAGGAAGATTCTGAATGTTAATGTCAAGTAATACTTTACTTGGTTTTATGGGTATCTTAGTAAAGGAATAAATAGAAAGTGCTAGTAAAAACGTTGGTTATTAACAAACATGCCATGTTCTTGCTGTATTTAAATTAGCAAGCAAAATAAAATATGCCATCATTATAATTATGAAGTGAATCTACTGCAAAGGAGTTATAAAAGTAAGTTAAAATGGGAATGGACAGAATACCAGATCAAAAGCAAGGCCTACACAGCCCTATAGAGTAGAAATTATTTCCACGTTACAGATGAGGAACTGACTCGAAAAGCTTGAGTGACTTCCAGAAGGTCATACAGCATGGTGGAGTCAACACTCAGTGATAACAGTGTTTCCTCTTTCAGGAAGCCTGAGCTATAGTGATTCCGACTCTGAATTTCAGAGTGGCCCCCCGTCTTTGCACTCATCTCCAGGCCTCATTTTTTTTTTCTTTTAAAATAACAATAAACACACTACTTATTCCACCAGGTGGTTAGGGGGCAGACGATTGAGTGTCTCCTGTTGGAACAGAGCAGCAAGCGTCCCTGGTCCAGGGAGCCCTTCCCCAGTGCAGGCAGGAGGGGAGAGGGGGCCACGTGGCTCAGCTCTGCTGGAGAAACCTGCCAAGGGGCAGGCGATGCAGTTTTGCTTCAAATGAGGCAGCAGCGTTAAAGCTGCGGGAAGAACAGCAGGTTAAAGGAGGGGAAGGTCAAGGCAACTAGACCAGCAGGTTTTCTAACTCTTAAATCATTCTAACCCTTAAAAAAAGAAATGGCAATGTGGAAAGGGAGGAGTAAGTTATAAACTTATAAAGTAGAAAAAGACAGATGGGTCAAATTCAGAAAATCTATATTGAGCATCCATCCAGGTGCCAGGCCCTGTGCTGGGCACTAGATATGTCGTTATGACCAAGACTGACAACCGCTCTCAGAGAGGAATTTAAAGAAAGTTTTATATGAGTAATTAAGTTGACATCAAGAAGAAAGAATGACCTAAATAGAAATCTATGATATAAAAAGTATAGACTGAAGCTAAAAAATTGGCCCTAAGGTCCTACATTAGTTTTCCTTTGTTGCACAATAAATTATCCTCAAATTCAGTGGCTTCAAACAACAAACACTTATCTCATAATCTCTGTGGGTCAGGGATCTGGATGTGGCTTAGCCGGGTGCCCCTGGCCCAAGGCCTCTCGTGAAGTTGGTGTCAGGCTGTCAGAGGCTGTAGTCTCATCCAAAAGCTCAGCTGGCGGGGCCGGGCTTCCAGGCTCACTTTGTGTTTGTGAGCAGGGCTGACTTCCTTGTGGGCTCCTGGGCCTAGAGCCTCGGTACCTGGCTTCGGGTCAGAGGCCTCCCTCAGTTCCTCACAACACGGACCTCCCCACAGAGAGGCGAGTGAGCAGGAACGGGAGCATGGCAGAGGGGGTGCCCGAGGCGGAAGCCGTCGTCCTTTTGTCATCTGATCTCAGAAGCGACATCCCATTGCTTCTTCTCATAGCACGTGTGTCAGTAAGCCCAGCCCACAGTCCCAGTGAAGGGATTGCACACGAGTGTGAACAGCAGGAGGGCAGGGATACGGGGCTACTGTAGGGCTGCCAGTCTCGGGGGCTCTGGAGCAGTTTCAGCAAGAGACAGCTAACGGGGAAGAGTGAATGTCACTTCCAGACAAAAGGAGCTGCGTTTGGAGCTGTTCCTGCTCATCAGTTGTAAAAGGAAGGCACTTAGAGATGAAGTTTTGTTTTTCATAAAGCAGACTTTTGAAAGACGCAGGATGCCAAGATGGTATAGAAATGATTATGGATCATTACTGGGGAGTAGAGAGGGATCATCCCACAGGGAAAGTTATCTAAGGACATGCCAGGGGGCAGATTTCCTTTTACTGGGGCGAGGAGAGGGGAGAGCAGGCTAGATTTTCCATTAGAAGTTAAATAATTATAACTGAACAGTAAGAGTAAATAATTAAGGCTGCTTCTCTGATTAAGCATGCCAAAGTCCAGAATTTCTTGTAAAAATAGGAAATGAGCCAATAAAAGTGATAGGAGTTATGAGCCAGAAAGAATAGAGGTTGCAGCACGTAAAGTGAAAAGCACTACTATTTTGGCCTTGCATTCCGGACACTTGAAATTTCTTAGGTTCTGGAGAAGAAAAGCCACATTTAAGTGGAGAACAAATTCCCATCAGAATCAAGATAAAGTAATGGTCTAATAAGAAAGCTAATTAAGGAGAGGAAAGTCCTGCTCACGTTCAAGAGGCCAGAGAATGGGTGGACTTTGTTTTCGTTGTATGAGGAAAGTTCTCAAGGGTGGGAGGAAAGCCCAGGCTCTCGAGGGCAGAATGGGCATTCCTGCGCGGAGCAGGGATGATGGGAGAGCAGCCGCAGAAACGAGGGTCAGGAAGGTGCAGCCACACAAGGCACAGGTCAATAGAAGAGAGAAAATGGGAAGTAAAGCTGTATGGGGGCTGTAAATGTGAAAGGGGGCCCTGAAGAGTCCTCAGAGAGAGCAGACACACACATAAAAAATTGCCACGTTAAAAAAAAAACAAGAAGAGGGAAACATAATGTGTTAGAGAATAGGACATTTCATTTAGAACCAGGTTCAAATAGAGCACATGCTTTTCACGGCCGTTTTTCTTCCTACTGGCTCATGTGAGTCCTGGCAAGACAGGGTGGCCCCGCTCTTATGGGCCTTGTGGTGATCCAGAAAAAGAATGTGGTAAATAAAAGAAACTAAACACACACACACAAACAAAAACCAGTTCATGTATAACAACCAAAGGGAAACCAGTACAATTTTGTTGTCTTAAGACTATAGATAAAGAAAACAAAGGGGCAGAAATTTTAAATTCTTCTAGTTCCTGTAGCCATCTAATGAAGATGATAGATGTTAAAAAGTAGAAAGGAATGCTTTTGTTAAATAAACATGGAGAATTGAATACATATGTTTATCTCCTCTTCATCCCAACACACCACTGACGACAGTAAATTAATAAAAAGTGAATAAATTTAGAAGGTAAAGAAAATAAGAGAGGAGTTGACACCAGATGGAAAAGATACCAACTAAATTTTGGAAAATGGAAAGCAAAGTATGGGTGACAGGCAATTAGCAGAGTGCAGGACATTGAAACCTAATGCCTCTAGGGAGTGGGGAAATGAGGTGAAATCCTAAAAGGAGCAAACCCAATTATGCACCATGACACTGGAACGGCCCAGGAATTAGACACCAGATACCTCTGACAGAGGGAGAGAAGAGAGGATTTGAAAACAGGACTGTTTGAATTATTGTAAAAGGAGCAGCTAGATGCTCAGATGCCCTCCCTAAACCCCAAGCTGCCTGTACCCACTGTCCTGGCAGTTAACAAAAAGATTTGCAACTCTAGGAAAACTGAATACAAGAGGCTTTGGACCTAAGGCTACACAGCAGCAGAGTGTAGAACGAGGCTAGAGTGAAAGCATGTACATTAAAGGGTGAGACCTTCCAATCACTTCACCCGCGCACTTCCCAGAACACGTAACCAGTCTTGTATATCAATAGCCAGGAAACTGGAGGAGCCCCCTCTGGAGAAATGAGCTGGCTCAAAAGAAAAGAATTATGGACACTAACAGTTTGGGTCTGCCCATGAAATGGCTATAACCCTGTCCAGTCTATGCACTGAGAAGTATGGTAGTCCATAAGCCCTTACGTATGCATTCAGAGCTTCCGGTAACATTTTGGAGACTCATTTTTAAACTCAAAAAAAGTAAGGATCATCAAACATTTTAGGAGCACCTCTAATATGAAAGATGGAAACTAGGATCAAACAAATAAGAAAAAAAGAACTTAGAGAAAACAGATGCAAACCTATATGGTGTCTGTAATACTTTCAACAAGAAAGATAAAAAATGTAGATGAAAGAAAAACAATATGGGAAGCAAACATGAACTTCAAAAAAGAGCATAATTAATATCCTTAGAGAGAAAACATTGCATA